TAGGGTTTCCTTTTTTCTTTTTAGATAGAGTCTTACTTTTTATCCTGGCTAGAGTAGTGGTGTCATCATAGTTCACCTCAAACTCCTGGGCTCAAGTGATCCTCTTGCCTCAGCTTCCTGAGTAGCTGGGACTATAGGTATGCTACCACACTCGGCTATTTTTTCTACTTATAGTAGAGATGGGGTCTTACTCTTGCTCAGGCTGGTCTTAAACTCCTAAACTCAAGCAATGCACCCACCTTGGTCTCCCAGAGTGCTAGGATTACAGATGTGATGCACCATGCCCAGCAATTTTTTCTTTTTTTAGAGAAACAAGGTCTTGGTCTTGCTCAGGCTGGCCTCGAACTCCTGACTTCAAGTGGTCCTCCCACCTCAGCCTCCCATATGCCTAAGATTACAGGCATAAGTCATCACACCCGGCCTAAGGTCAGATTTATTTATTTATTTATTTTTGAGACAGAGTCTCAAGCTGCCACCCTGGGTAGAGTGCTGTGGCATGATAGTTCATAGCAACCTCCAACTCCGGTTCAAGCCAATCCTCTTGCCTCAGTTTTTCTATTTTTAGTAGAGATGGGGTCTCCTTTTTGCTCAGGCTGGTCTTGAACTCGTGAGCTCAAGCAATCCACTGCCTCAGCCTCACAGAGTGCTAGGATTACAGGCGTGAGCCACTGTTCCCAGCCTAAGGTCAGTTTTAAAATTAATTAGTAGGTTGGTTGCTTGGGACTCAGAAGGCATTTTTGTAAAGAAAGAATTTCTTGGTTCCTAGGCTAGCCCATGAAGAACTCTTTACCCACAAGGAAGCTCCCAGGCACCCCATGGGATGATTTGCTTTCCATCTCAGCCCTAAAACTGAGACTTCAGTTGGTGATGAATATCTCTCTAGGGACTGTACTTGGCATTCACTCCGGGGACTGCAGGGAGTGAGTCCCTCTCCGGGATTGGGTCTGGCAGGGACCAATTGTAGGGGCTCACACTGCACCAGGTCTGATGGGGCTTTGGTTCTTGCAGAGCACCTGTAGCTTAGAGCCTCAGGAAGAAGCAAGAATCACTCACAGACCAGGCATTTCCCCGATCGGGGCTGTGTATTCTTGCCCCCCACCTACTCACCTGCTGTGGACTCAGGGCTCTCGCTGCCCTACCCCACGAACCTGGGAGTTATCAGGAGTTTAATATGTATTTTTCCATTTACAAATTTTCATTGTTACAACATAGCATATTGTTAAAAGGTAACTGTCCTGCAAAATTTATAACATAAAGCAGCAATCCCCTGTCCACCTAAAGTCCATCTCTCAGAAACCCTTAGAACTCTTTTAGCTCCTTTGTATCTAAATCTCATACTGATTCTATTTCTTGGCTAGCCTTGGCTGCTAGCCCAGCCCCCAGTCCCTTCATCACCCTGGGGATTCTCTCTCCTGTGTTGGATCTCCAGTTTCTTGTGTCCCTTGTGCCTTCTTTCTTGTTTTTTTCCTTTGTTTGACTGGAGCATATCCTGCAGTAGCTGCCTGAGAAAGACTGTGAGGGAGGTAAAATTTTTCAAGCACTTACGTGTCTGTACATATCTTTATTCTTCCGTCACATTTCACTGTGATTTGGCTGGGTATAAAAATGTAGATTGGAAATTGTTTCCCTTCAGAATTGAGAAGATACTGCTTTACTGTATTCTAGCTTCAAAATTTGCTTCGAGAATTTCAATGCCATTTGAACTTCTGATCCTGTGACTTGTTCTTTTTCACTTTAGAAAGTTTTAGCATTTCCCCCCCTTCATCCTGGTGTCCTGAAATTTCATACGAAGGCTTGGTGTTATTCCTTAAATCTTGCTTTGAAAGATTTCAGACATACAGAAAATAATACAAATGATAACAAAATATGTTTAAATAAATATACAATATGTAGTAAAATATAAATATTACAAATTCATCTAGCTATCAAGCTTAAGAATAACAAATAGGTAGAGACCCCTTCTTAATTGGATCCCTCTTCTCAAGATGTATCCTCAATCTGATGGTTATCTTTCTTATCGTTTCTTTATTCTTTCATTGCATAAAGTATATTTTAATATATCATAAAAATTTGCTTATCTGTCAAATCTCTGTATAGAAGGCGTTATAATGAATTCATTTTTTCCCAACATCTGTTTCGTGAGACTTATCTATGTTGAGTGTGGTCACTCAACTTCACCACTGCATAATAACCCATAGTTAGCATATGGCACAATTTATGTTTCTATTCTTCGGCTGATGGCATTTAGGTTGTTTGACTTTTAGCTAATAAACAGGTTCTGCTGGGGTGGCGCCTGTGGCTCAGTGAGTAGGGTGCCAGTCAAACCCACCCCGGCCAAACTGCAACAGAAAATAGCTGGGTGTTGTGGTGGGCGCCTGCAGTCCCAGCTACTTGGGAGGCTGAGGCAAGTGAATCGCCTAAGCCCAAGAGCTGGAGGTTGCTGTGAGCTGTGATGCCATGGCACTCTACCAAGGATGACAAAATGAGACTCTGTCTCTTAAAAAAAAAAAAGGTACTGCTGTAAATATTCTGCACATGTCTCTTGGAGCCCATGTAGGAGAATTTCTGTAGGAAAAGGGACCCCAGGTCGCTTAGCACACTGGCGTCAGCTGGGAAGATTTAAAAAATCCCAGTGTCAAAATCAATCAAACCAGAATCTCTAGCAGTTGGGTGGGGGCAGCATGAATCCTTTTAAAGCTCTCCAGGTGATTCTGACGGGCAGTCAAGGGTGACAGCCACTACTATAGACCATTGCTACCCAAAGTGTGGGTGTCTCACTAGGCATCGCTGAAACTTGTTAGATGTGTGCTCTGATCCCAGAATCCAGGGAGAATCTGTGTTTTATGAAGACCTCAGGAGATGGATACAGACCTTGCATGTCTTTACCTCCTGGGTATTGCCAGACTGCTGCTGAGGACGGCAGCAAAGGTTTCCTGTCATTGTGTTAGGCACTTGGTGGGCTCTTTCCCTATGGAAGCTCGTGGCCTTTCATCCTGGGAAATATTCTTGTATCATTTCCTCAACAATTTCCTCTCCTCTGCTTTGTTTCTTGGTTTGAAATTCCTCCTCGTTGGAAGTTGGGCCTTCTGTATTGATCTCAACTTTTTGTTGTCCAATATTCTTGACTTTTTCTTATTTGTATTTGTAAAACCTGTAAGGTTTTACTTTCTGGGGGATTCTCTCTCATCTCCTCTTTCATCCCTTCTCATGCATTTTTAAATTCCTGCTACTGTATTTTGAATTTTCAAGAACTTTTAACACTGCCTTAAAAAAATAACATTCTTATTTCATGGGTATATATCTTCAAAGGATTTTCCTCTGCCTCCTTTTCTCCTGTGTTTTCAGTTATTGGATTTTGTCAAATGTTGGGTGCCCTTGGCTGTTCCCATTACAAATGAAACACAACAAAG